AGAAGAAGAAGAAGAAGAAGAAGAAGAAGAAGAAGAAGAAGAAGAAGAAGAAGAAGAAGAAGAAGAAGTTGTCCAACCTTACTTCTGGTAAAATTCTGACGGATTTTTCTAGAGGTTTTTGATAATAATAAAAAAACCCTAGATCTATCTTGGTCCATCCATCCCAATTCTTGAGACAGTTGTAAATGATTGGTCTTTTGGTGATCAGACAGTAACAGAGAAATGTTTGTTTACTTCCTTCCTTTCCCTTCCTTTTTTCACTCCCTCCCCCCTTCTTTCTATTAAACTACAAATGGCTAAGAATGGAACAAGGGGGAGCATGGGCTAGTAAAACAGTCTGGTAGATTACTTTAGCAGCCTTGTTGGACTGGTTGCTTTGTTGACACAAGAAAGAACAAACAGCTACGTAAAGGCATGGACCACCATGTTGCAATACAGAGTAAGCAATCAAGGGTGACTTTTGGGCAGCCATTGGCTGGGCACGTACATTGTACCAATCCATAATGTGATAGCTTGGCTTTGGCTTAAAATGAGAAACGAACCTAAATGCAAAAATAATACATGGATAAATACTTATGCGCACCAATCTACTTAAGAGCATTACATTTTGCTAATCTATGTGGTTGGGATGTAAACTTGGCTGTGTAACAGCTGACTCTAGTAGCTGATTATCTTAGCCCACCAGCAAAGCTCAAAGTGGTAGGCTAAGTTTTCTGCCCCCAATTCGTACAAGGTGAAGGCAATGTAGAATTTAATCTATTATCTCATTCTAACATTCCTCAAGTTCCTAGGATTTCTCAGCTGTAGTTAAGAGCAGTTTGGGAGGGCACAAGAATTTGCATGATCAGTTGTTAATCTATACAAGTGACTCCTTAAAAGCATTCCAAAATCCTACATTGTTCTCTATTAACAATACAGTAGAAACCCAAACGGGAAAATAATCCTGCCTACACTGATTAATGCCTGAACTCTCCATACATTCCATCATGGCAACTATGTAATTTTGGGTTCATTTGTCGGTTTTCTTGGTACTTCCTATTTTAAACATTTAATTGTTGAATTCCCTGGCAGACATCCCTGTCAAATGTTGTCAACTCAGCACCAACTTTTTGTTCCTCTCCTCCAAAGGCTTGTAAACCCAAAGGACCTGGTGGTCTGCCAAGAATGTGGTGCTTAGTGGTTCTGTAAACACACTCTCACCCAAAGGCAGATTAATATATGAGGCTATTGAGGCTGCTTTCAAGATCAAAGCTAGTACTGTAGTCTGATTCTGATAAATGTTAAACTATATGATAATGAGATTAAAGAAAACATAGATTTAATGCAGCAAATGTTTGGGGAAAATATGATCAAATGTTACACAATTCTCTCATTCCATTATTATGAGATCTGTCTCCAGAGGGACTTCATTCAAAGGAAGTGGCTAATGTCTCTCATGAGGCAAATCAGTTGACCAGAAATGGATATAGGGGTTTCTCCTTTCAAATTAACTTTTTTTTTTTTTTAATCAAAGATCTTTAGCTGAAGGATATGGCTTTCTGGAACATGAGGCAAATACAGCATTGATTTCCTAATCTAGTGGCAAAAGGAACAGTTCTCACAGACAAAAGGGAAAGCAAGGAAAGAATTCTCTAAACTGGGGATGGGCAAGTCAAATTGGATGTGTCTTAGGCTACGTAAGGCCCTTTGACTTAATTTTAAATTTCCTTTGCAAGCAATCAGTTCAAATAATTGGAAAGAGAGACCTGTCCCTCTTCTAAAAAGTCAGAGGGAGGGAGGAAGGAATATGGTCCTTGTCAAGATTCTCACTAAATACATCAGGCAACTAGTTTTCAGAAAATGAGGGAGAATAGCTTCAGCTTCATTCAGAAATCAATCCTTGGCTAAATCACACATTAATCTGGGAAGTGTGAGTGAGGCAGATTTGTTTTGGATTCTGCTCAGTGTTTCTTTTCCCATCCTTAACAATGATCACCTAGACTATTTTCTATGGAGTGGTCAGTCTGCGTTCTCCTGATATGTCTCAACTGCAACTCTTAGCAGCCCCAGCCAACATGGCTAATTGGGAGGGATGTTAGAAACAACAGTGCAATATCATCTGGAGAACTATAGATTCCCCACTCCTGAAAGTTTGTAGTTGAGGAGAGATTTAAATTGGGGATTACAAACTGCAGTCCATACTGACTTCTAGCCATCACGCAGCCAGCTCACCAATCAGTGCAGTATTCAATTAAATCCAGGTCCCTGAGTGTGATTGCTTCACCTACTGGGGCTAAACACAGACCAAAAATAATTTGATAAACCCATGATTTACCACAATGTCAGATACATATTTATAGTGTGGCTATATACCTCTTAAAAATCATAAAAGAGGTTTCAGTGCAAAGTCCGTGTGACATTTGGTAACTGTTTTGGGGTTTTTTTGCACTGTTATTTCAAATGAAAAAAAAATGCATAAAAGTTAAATTATCACCAGTGAGCAAACTTTGTCACCATTCCTTGCATCTGTCACAACAGTATTCTCCTGTAAACAAAAAATTGTTTTAAGAAAGAATTATATTACCTCCCTTTGAATTTGTCCACATATCTTAGTAATGCCCTCTGTTTGATTTTCCAGACAATTTCTCCTATGATGGAAACTCAATAGAGTCAATACTAATTAAATGAAACCATCTCTGTAACAAGCCAATGCTATAATGTACTTCCCTCATAAAGGCTATCTTTTTAATCTGAATTACGGTATTTTACTTCCTCTTTAATGAACAGGGAAAAAATCAATATAGAGACAGGAAAGAAATAGAACAGAGGTGGTTTTGCAAAAACCACTCCTTTGCTTTGTAGTCACTGAGTTGAGAAAGCAGTTCTGAAGAGACACGGAGAGTGATGGGCCACGGCTCTGGCTGTTTCCACAAATCTCGCTGTATTTGCTTCAGTTTTTCCACATGTCACTGGATAGGCATATCTACAGGGAAGGGAAAAGGTATGGCACCTCCTGGAGGCAGGTGGTCCTGTGATAATTTACCATTTGGAGATATGTAAAACAGAATATACCAAAACCTGATTCTAGGGGTTCTTCTTCCACAGCTGATCTAGAGCCAAACTTGGGGGGGGGGGGGGAAGGGCAGGATGAAAAAACAAAGTTCATAATTATTCAGGGATATCCTGCAGTGGCCACTTTTTTCAGAATGTGTCATCTGAGGCAATACTACCAGTTATTCCTATCAATTTAACCATCAGTCACTAAAACATAAGTTACAACTGAACATTTGTAAGATTGAAGAATTTAAAATAGATGGAGATAAAGATCTAGTTCCCATAACTACAGAATTTTGTTGTTTCTTTTTTATTTGTTAAATTTGGTTTTTTTAAAATTAATTTAATACTGTAATTTCAAAAAGAAAACACAGAACAACAGATAATGATCCTAACCAGGAGACTTGGATTTTACACTGTATTTGTAAATATGATATTCATAGATAATTATAACACTCGGTATGAAATAACAACCATCACTGTACCCATTTAGAGTTCCATGTGACTGCTGTTAATTTAATCTCATCTGCTAACATCTATTTCTTAAGATCTATGGTTAAACAAGAGCTGAAAAGCTGAGTTTTATAAGAGCTTTGCTGCAGATTTGGAGAATTCAGTGGCTATACAGGTCTTCATAACCCATAGATTGGTGTGAAGAGGACAGGCTGTAAGTTGGGCACACTGGCTCCCTTCTTCCCCTTTCAAGGTTTTCAGAAATGGAGATAGACAGTAAAACTTTACGACTGCGATTAATTCAGTTCATCATTGAACTCAAACCTTAAACTGCACTCAGTAGTAATAATGGTTAGTATAAAACTAGCCTCAAACACTGTATAATTAAGTCTGGCCATAGTTTGTCTGGTTTGGATAACATAACAAGTTGTGGTAAAATGTAAGTGGAAATGAAAACTGCTCTTGGCAGCCATGGCAAACAAAAAAGGAGGAGGAGGCAGCAACTGTGTATGAATCCAAGGTGTCCACAGGCTTAATACTTGTTATGGTAAATTATGGTTCACAGTGGAGTCCTTGGTGCTCTCTGAGCTTGGCTATTTGCTTGCAGATGTTTCATTACCCAACTAGGTAACATTATCAGCGTCTGCAAGCAAACAACCAAGCTCAGAGAGCACCAAGGACTCCACAGTTCATCCCTGAGCTACATATATTCTCTTCTATGGCTCAGGGATGAACTGTGGAGTCCTTGGTGCTCTCTGAGCTTGGTTGGTTGCATGCAGACGCTGATAATGTTACCTAGTTGGGTAATGGAACATCTGCAAGCAAATAGCCAAGCTCAGAGAGCACCAAGGACTCCACAGTTCATCCCTGAGCTACATATATTCTCTTCTATGGCTCACAATACCTGAAATACAGCAATCAAGGAGATCCTGCAAAAAATCAGCCCTAAACACATCCACCTAAGTACCGAAGACTTGCTATTTTCAAGTAGCTACATCTTCTGGAACTGGCTAGTTTCTTTACTGCTTCATTACACTAGTGGCTTTACGTACCAAATCTGGCTTGAGCCTGAAGGCCAAAGGAAGAGAATAGAATACGGAACGAACGGTTGTTAGCACTGAAGAGCTCCAGGACTGACGGACCTCCCGACTTCTGGGAATGCGATGGAGGGTAAACTGGGAAAGTAAGGGGAGAATTGACAGATTTGCAAATGAAAATCATTTGGGTATTAAACCTACTTCCTGTAAACCTTTCAGCTACATAAACAGTGCTAGATAAAGAAGAAATTCCAATTTGAATGGGCTCCTACTTATTTTTGCTGCATTCCAGCATCCAATTATCATGAGCCACAGGAGATAACCCAAAGGAGAAAGAATCCAACTTCACATTTAAGGTACCCCCCCGCCCCAAAATTGGAAGGAATCTCAGCCAATTTAAGAAATCTTTCCAGTTCAAAGGTAAATTATTTGAAAAAGAAACAAGGCTTCCTTTCCGGTAAATAAAATATGAATACATGCTGAGTTTCTTGTATAAGACATTTCTTTCTTCAAAGCAGCATCCAGCAAAAACCTTTTGGTAAAACCCTGGAAAAATATAGAGCGAGGCAGCATAGAGCAAACTTGTATTTAACTGCTCACTTGCAGCTACCAGCAATGTCTCTGCAGGGAGTAACTGGGCCGGCATCTCTTGCCATTTGCTTAATTTCCACAGGTCCAAAAAAGTTTATCCAGCACCAAAGTCCCTTCCAACTCTATGATTCTATTTCTCCGCAACATATTACAGTAACCCCAACAGCTTCCTTGGTGGTAAGCTATTTTTGTTTTTTTGCTAGCCTACTTCATTTTCTATATGGCCATGGGGGCTGTGGCCTTTCCTGTAGCTAACATGGGAATGTATGATATTACTAGCCTCCCCAGGTTACTAAAAACAAATAACTTTTGAGTGCTTTTAACGAGGTTGGCATAGATGTATCACACAGCACTAGATTAACTGATTTAGCTTAGTGCCCCATCTGGTGGACAATAAGATGCAACTGTTAGCAAGACTTCAGACATTTCCCCCTCTAATCCCCAAATCATCCAAAGGCCCACACTTAAAATCAAAGTATCAGGCATCTCTGAGCAGACACTGAGCTTAGGAATTTGTTTTCAGAACTGACCTGAATTCAGAGTCTTTCAGAAAAAAGTCCATACAGGGTTACCTTGAAATTTCTAATCTCTCTCCCCCCCTCCCCGCCCATACACACTTACATCCATGTATGTTTGTGCATCTAACCATCTAAATCTATGAGCATTTATTGTAAAACAGTTTGGGAGTTTAAGATACTTGTTGACCTATTACAAATAGCTGTCTGTAGGTTCTGATCTACCTTTAGCCCACTCCTGGGTTAAAGGTATGAAACTAAACCTTCTGAGTTCATATTAACTGTCCTGCTCTAGCCTCCTCTTGGAAGAACCTGCCAAACTTTGAACATTACTTGGTATTACTTTTTAGTAGACAATCTTAGATTTGTTTCAGGCAGATTCTCCAAGTACAAAACAAAGCCACATCAAAGCAGGCTTTGTATATTTGCAATCATACCTAAAACAAGTCAAACATATAATAACTGGGTCAGATCAACCCCCAAAACCATCCATTATTGCCCTTGATCTAGCCTAGGGAAGCTCCAACGGGAACAGAATAACCACCACAAGGTTGCTAGTCCCATGAGACAGGTCCCTGGTCTTTTGTCTGGATCATTTCCAGCTGATTAGAGGGAATATGGACTGGTGCCAAGTACTTTAAGTTGTCCTTCCTGCAGAAGGTACTTAGGGACCATCAAAATTCAGGACTTGCTCTGGAGACAGCAGCAACATTTAGCCTTGCATAAAATGTCTCTTTTTTGGACTGTTATTTGAGTTATGTGTTTGTTCTTTCCACAGATAATATCAGGGGAATGTTGAACTTATACAATTATATTTCGACTGTTTTTAATTAAATTGCTTTCAACATTGTTTCCCATGGAAAAGAGGCTGCATTAGCTTTTGTGGTAGGTCAAAGGGCTACACTCAAAAATGGATGTGTTTAGGCCAAAAAGAACCAAATTTCTTTAAAGCAAAAAATTAAATAGTCCCCATTCCTAGCATGGAGACACCTCTCTGTTCATATTATGAAATAGTTTTCATGTGTTTCTATTCCACTTCTGTTCAGGTTTAAAAATAATTTTAAAATAATAATACTTTCCCCCAACTTACTGCAGATGGCAGCATGCATCCACTTTAGTTGACTGAAAACACTAAACAGGATTCGATTTAGTTGCTACTTGGACTGGAGATTACCAGCATTGAAGGCTAGTCTGGGAAGCTGAAAAAAACATTTCAGGAGAATGCAGTGGCAAGCTATTTCCTTACTGCTGCCAAGAAAACCACATGCACATGGAGTTACAAGTAGTCAAGCCTGAATCAAGAATTGTTCACCTTCATTTCTATTTCCTGCCTCCCCCCCCACACATACACAGCTTCCATTCTATTCAGATTTAAAAACAGGATGTATATACATCTTTTTTTGCAGCAATAGCCTGTATCATGATCAGTAGAGGGCACTATGGCACTGAGACTCAAACTCAGGGAGAGGCCCTGAAATTTTGTGTGCTGAGAAAATAAAAGGGGAAAAACCTCCCACCAAAAACAAGGAAACAATATACTTCCAGGAGCAAAAGGGAGATTTAAAAAGCAGGATCAAAAGGAAGGCAAATAGCAAGAAGGGGTGAAGGAACAGCCAGTGCAAGCAGGATAAGAAAGAGACAGAGAAAACAAAGCAATGAAAAACAAAATGAAGAGGGATGGAGTGTAGCAATGTAAGAAATCAGAGAAATTAGGACATACAGTATTATCAGGCAGATATTCAGGGGCCACACCAGATCCCTTAGTATCCTGCACTCTGTGAGCCATTGGTTTTAACCCATTCTCCAGGATACCACCTAATCTTTCTTTAAAGTCATCAAGCAATCCAAGATGTCTTAGTGGTTGGCTCTTAGTCATATGCAAAGTCTTTTTTCCTTGTGCTTATTTTAAAAATGTCCAATCTCTGGAATATTGTTCTAGAGAAAATGAGTAATGCTGAGGAGGGGGAAAAATGCTATAAAAACTTAATCTCTAAATGTTGTCTCTTCCCAGTCCAGCATCCCTTTTGTATATATGGATCCAAAGCAAAGATTAGAAGTAAGATACCAAATTTGGTGGAATACCTTTCATACAGTAGAATGGTGATCTGCTGTCCTGAACACCAAATATTAGATCTGTACTTGATTTTATTGGCCAAATGATTAAAAGGCAATTTCATTAATTCAATTTGTGCTCTCACTCAATCTAGCAGCAGATTAAATAAAGTTAATGACTGGTAATGCAAGTACTTATAAACACCATATGTGGAAAATCCCATTTTAGAAGACACATTTCATCTCTTTTCACACAAAAGACTAAATTGGGTTTCCATGAATTAGATTGCTATCAATAGCTACTAATCTTGAGTAATGTTTGCGGTTTCTAGAATCACAAGCAGCATGTTTTTAAGTATCAGCTGCTGTAGAGCAACTATGGAAGTGCCTAGTGCCCACCTGTCCAGGTTTATGGCTTCCAGAATGGACCTGGTTGGCTACTGTCAGACACAGAATGCTAGATTACATGGCCTCTTGCCTCATTTTATATAGCCATATCTAAATATTCTGAAACCTACATTTTCATCTATTTAATGTAATTCAGACACTGTTCTTTTTTCTATTTTAGGGATCAGGTGGGAGGACAGGGCGAGAATAAACCTCCTGCTTCAGTGCAGAAAAATACGTGTCTCCAAACCGGGGGGGGGGGGGGG